AGGTACCTTGTATAGAAAACCTGGTGGATTGTGGGGGTCGGATGGATTTCCTGAGTCTGCCGTCTTCAGACCGGCTTCTTCTTCTTCTTCCTCCTCCTCCTCTTCCTCCTCCTCTTCCTCCCTGGCCGTTAGGAGGGGGGGGCGGTCTTTGGAGTGGAAGGACAGGCGTGGGGCTGGTACCGGTTCCCCTTCGACCTCCTGGTCCAGGCTCTGACAGGCTCCGCCCCCTCTTTGATCTGGCTCCGCCCCCCTCCCAGGCTCCACCCCCATCACAGGCTCCGCCTCCCCCTGACTCTGGGAGCTCTGGGAGGCCTCGCTGGTGCAGGCCGACTGCCTCTTGGGGGTGCTGGCCCCGCTGGAGCTCAGGTCTGAGTCTGAGGATCCCGGGCTGGGGGTGAGCGGGGGGGCGCCCCCCCCCCCCCCCCCGGGCCCGGGGGGGGGGGGGGGGGCCCCCCCCCCCCCCCCCCAGGGCCGGGGGGGGGGGGGGGGGCCCCCCCCCCCCGCCGTTGTGGGAGGAGTTGGCGTGGACCGAGACGTGGTCGGACGGGAAGGCCGTGTTGCAGGGGATGGGGTTGGAGATCACCAGGGACTTCCTCTTCTTCGACTTGCTCGATGAGCTGCTGAGAACCAAAAAAACAAAAAAAGAAAGAGAACACGTTTAGTTCATTCGGTTTTCCCCTCGTCTGCTTTATTTATGCTTTGAGCAGAGCAACAGATTCAACTAGAAAATGGCTGTGAGAATGCCAAGTGCTAAATGGAGGAAGGAGAAGAAGCAGAAGAAAAGCTGAAAAAGACATAGAACTGAAGAGTTGAAGAAGAATGGAGGACACAGAAGAAAAAAAGGCTTAACGGAGGAATAATTTTAAAGATTTGAACTGGCAACTTCTGGATCTGTAGTCAAAGGCAATTCCACTGACCTATACCACTGAGATATACCACTGAGCTATACCACTGAGCTATAGCACTGAGCTATACCACAGGTTAAAAGGCTTTAAAGGAATACAGAGGAACATTTGAAGGGGCTGAAATGCCAGTGACCAGCAGAGGGAGCCATGCTTTCAACTCCATTAATTTCAGTTACAGGAATAACACCAAATAACACCAAAAGTCAGAGCTGCATATTCCTGAGATAGCTGAACATTTTGATACCTTATTTGTTGAAATAGGCTGAAAGGTATGGAATAAAGAATAGTAAAGAGAAACAGGAAAACAATAGAGGATTATGGGGAACAGGTGGAGTTCGGGAATTCGCCTTATTTTAGTGGAAGAAAAAAATATTAAAAAGTTCCCATGATCAGTCCCAGTGACGTTGAAAGTAACATTAGTTTTGGATTGTAATTGTTTTTTAACAGTTTATCCCCCACTAGAAGAGGACCAGTAGATCAGTTGTTTTTAATCTTCCTTTGAAAGCAGCGAGGGCCGACTTCCACATTCAACACACACCGATTCTCCATTCAGGCTTTTCAAGTCCTGTCCTGTCAAACTATAGAGCTTCTGGCACTCAAATTTAAGGCAAAAGCCGTTAAATGTAGGCTTTGCTCCATAAAACTCAGCTGCAGCCGTTTGGTAGAAGCACCGGGCTGACGCCCAACACTTTGGATCATCATCCTGCTGGATGAGTAATCAGAATCAGAAATACTTTAATAATCCCAGAGGGAAATTATTTAACAGGTAAACAAGAATTACCTGTTAAGTGTTCGGCCTTTGTGATCCGTCCAACATTTGCCTGCCCCAGCAAAAAGCCTCAGAAGCTGAGGCCAATTTACTCACTTCCACTGTTATTTATCTAACAATGTGTGGAGGGTTTTTTTCTGCAATTCAAAATAAATGCAAAGACCAAAAACAGGGTTTTTTTTTCCTGTTGGGACCGTGTCACTGCAGGGTTTTTACACAGCACTGTAATCCATAATGTGTTTTGATGCCAATATAACTTTATCCATAAGTAAAAAGCTAGTGCTTGTAGCTTTATATATCTAGTGCTATTATTACTATCTTTGCTAACTGTTTACAAGTTAGTAAAGACAGCAGAATGGCCCATATTAGAGGAGCAAAAAGCCTCAAGCTGGGGCCCATTTACTCACTTCCACTGTTTTGCAACCGTTATTTATCTAACAATATGAGAAAGTTTTTTTTTTCCAATTTAAAATAAACGCAAATACCAAAAAGAGGGTTCTTTTTCCCTGTTGTGTGACCGTAGGGTTTTACACAGCACTGTAATCCATAATGTGTTTTAATGCCAATAAAACTTTATCTATAAGTATAAAGATACTGATTGCAGTTTTATATTTCTGGTGCTATCTTTGCTAACTTAGTTAAAAGTTAGTTAATAGTTTTTGCTAACTATTTCCAAGTTAGAAAAAACAGCAGGCCGGCCCATATTAGAGGACCAAAAAGCCTTAGTCCGGACATATTAAAGACTTTTTACTACAAAAACTGCAGTTTCAGGGCACAAACCCTGCTTTGACTGATAATAGCAGTAAATTTTATCAAAATCCTAGAGTTCCTGCACACCGAACCCAAGATCTTCCCCATGAGTCGCGATTTGACCGATTCAGGCTTGTGCAGAGCTTTTGAGCAGATCCACTTCATCCAACAGGGACTGAAACACTTTTTTTTTCTGTTTACATTTAAGAAAATGTAAATCGTTTAGGAAATTCCTGAATCAGAATCTGTCGTTACCTATTCAAACCCTTGACGATGAACGCTTTGCCTGAATGCTGCGTCTCTACCTTCTTCATC